GCGCGCGCGTCCTACGGGCGCGTGTACTGCCCTTGACAATAACTCGTAACGTAAGCGAACGTCGAGCTGTCGCAGCACGCGCGAGAGCGCTCCCGTATTTCCATGCAATTTACCTTCTGCGTTTCACGCGGACATCAAAAGTCCGTAAGTGCGAGCAATTTGCTCGAATCAAAGTTCGCGTTAAACGTGTTCACGGCTTCTAGAGGCGCGATTTATTTGCCCGAGGTTTTCGACTACGACGCCGGTGCGATCGATCGAGGTTCGACGTTGGTCGTTTCGTTTGCTTGCGAGCCAAACGAGATCCTCTCTGTTTACATCTACTCGTCGTACTTTCCTTTGCCGCTGTCCATCCAACGTCTACGCTCGTCTAAATAACGCGCTATGTATAGTTTTGTTTGTCGCCGACCGAGAAAGCTCTCTCTCTCTCTCTCTCTCTCGTTTCCAATATTCGCTTCAAGGAACAAGGACGCGAATTCGGCGTGTTACGCGCTGGGAATATCACGTTGTTGCAAACGTAACGCAATAGCGTCGCGTGTAAGCAAGCAATAGTACGTGAGCGTAATCTTGGCTCGTCGAGAAAACGAGGTGGAGGGGGCGCTACTCGACTTTGCCTCTCCCCCCTCCCCTGTCCATCCGTCCGTCCGTCCGTCCATCTAAGATCCAACCGCTCGAACCAGCACTCTTAGCACTCGTCGATTCGCATTACTCGCGATCGATGAAACGATGAGGGGGAGATAAGCGCAAGATAAGAATCGCACGGAGCAACGACTCCGTGTCGCGACAAAAGTCTTGACCGATTTTGGCGTGAAATCTTCGAACGGCGAATCGTGCCGCGCGCGCGAATAGGATAGGATAGGATAGGAGAGGATAGGAGAGGAGAGGAGAGGAGAGAAGTTGGGCGAGGGGCGTAGCGTTTTAATCGCCGACATGCATCCACATAGCTAGACTTGGTATGCGACAACAGCTGGTGGCCTTCCACCTCTACGACCTTCTTCTACGTCGGCAGCCTGTTTGGGAACGTGGTGTTTGGCTGGATCGCGGACAAATGGGGCAGAAGGACGGCCTTCTTCGCTATACTGTTCCTCGAGGTCATATTCTCGATCGCCACCAGCTTCAGTCCCAACTACGTCATCTACACAGCGCTCAGGACCGTGAACGGCCTCTCTTTTCCAGCCATCTATCAAATACCTTTTATACTAGGTACGGGAGAGAGAGAGAGAGAGAGAGAGAAAAAAAAAGAAACGCAAATTCGAATCGATCGATCGAATCTTTTTTTTCTTTTTTTCCCCTCTTTTTTTCCTTTTTTTCTCTTTGCTTTCAGCGCTGGAATTGATGGGGCCGAGATACAGAACGTTCGCCGGGATGGTGATTTGCATGTTCTTCGCGTCGGCGATGTCTCTTCTGGCCGTGCTGGTAACGCGTGATCGTTCTATATCCATTTAACGTGTAGTTCTCTACACGTTCGTATGCGAGAGAGGCTCACACCTCTCCACCCACCTTTTTCCAGGGCTACTTGCTCAGGCACTGGTTCACCCTCTCCCTGGCAACCTCCGTCCCCTTCGTTCTACTCTTCAGCTACTATTGGATCATTCCGGAATCGCCGCGATGGCTGCTCAGCAAGAACAGGATAGACGAGGCGGAGGTGATCGTTCAACGGATGGCGAAGATCAACGGGAAAACGGTGCCGAACAATTTTCTTCGAAAGATGGAGGTAGAGAAGGAAAGAGGAGGGAGAGAGAGAGAGAAAAGGAACGGAGACGAGGGAGCGTCGATTTTTCGATTTCGCAGGTGGAGATATTGCGGAGGCAGGGGATATCCTGCAACGGGACGAATTCGGGGGACGGGTCGGGGGAACCGGGCGAGAACGAGGACAGATCGCCTCCACCCGCTGCCACGCCTATGGATCTGATCAGAAATCCAAACATCAGGAAAAAGTTCTTCATCCTGGCGTTCGACTGGGTGGCGAACGCGGTCGTCTATAACGGGCTATCGTACAACGCGACCAACCTCGGCGTCTCCGATTATCTGGCCTTCTTCATCGGTAAAAACCTCGTCGCGAGTACGAACGGCCTTCGAACAACGGCTCCGCTTGTAAACATGTTTTCGCATTCTATCGGATTGCAATCTATATGCAAAGATACAGATCTGTATGCAAAGTTTAGATACGTGTGCGAATGCGTATGTTTTTTTCAAACGCGACAGTCGCGACTTCGAGCACGCGACCGTTATTCCCTTTACTATACATTGTATACGTATCTCTGTCGTATTTCAGGCGGACTCGTGGAAATACCGTCGTACGTGATCACGTGGTACGCGATGGATCGATTAGGGAGGAGATGGGTATTGTGCCTGACCATGCTTTTAGGCGGCCTCGCTTGCGTCTCTTGCATGTTCGTTCCCGAAGGTAACGAAAATTTCGCTTCTCTCGCGTTTCCCTTCGATTTTGAGAATGAATGTGTGTGTATGTGTGTCGCACGACAGACGCCGTATGGGTGACGGTGTCGCTGGCTATGATCGGGAAATTCGGTATCGCCGCCTCGTTCGCCGTGTTCTACGTGTTCGTCGGGGAATTGTTGCCGACCGTGTTGAGGTCGCAAGCGATGGGGATCGCCTCGTTCATAGCTGGCATCGGTCTCCTCGCATTCCCGTACATCGTCCATCTGGCGGTCTACTCGAGAGTCCTGCCGCTGATCATAATGGGCACGCTGAGCGTGGCAGGCGCCCTAACCTCCATCTTCCTTCCGGAAACGCTCAACATACACTTGCCTCAAACGATCGAGGAGGGCGAGTTGTTCGGCGCCGATTTCAAGCTCTGGTCCTGTCCAACGTTGCCAAGGTCGATCTCTTTATCATTTCTGATATTATTTATTCGCCGTCTCCATTACAATTGTCTCTATGCGCGTGCGCGTGTTTTTCTTCTCCTTTTAGAAGAGAAAACTCGGACTCGGAGGAAAAATCGGAATCGATGCCGCTCAGGTTCCTGGTGAACGGTCGGCCGGGAAATCCTTCGTTGGCAGCCCCCGCGTTGCAAGAAGAGTCGACGAGCTCGGCTGCGACAACCGCAAACGAGACGGAAGCGGACAACTCTCGTCCCGTCGTTCAACGCGCGAGTATCCCGACGGATAGTGGAGTGGTGGAGGTCGCCACCTGTGCCGAGAAAAGATTCGACGATCCATTGGCCGTGGTCGTTATCGAGCGAGGAAGAACGCAGTGAATCGCGGACTGTTCGCTATTCCTGTCAAGATTGTTCGTTGCCTCCGTGCACGGTAGATATACACGATCTACCAACGCGTTAATGTGTAATAACGCGTCTAATAACGTGTTTGAAAAATACTATGTTCCGTTCCCGTTTCTTCGTTCGCGATTTCTCTGAATTTCGATCGATAACCCCTCCCCCTCGTCAGGGGATAAACGAGGTGAGATGAGGTGAGAGTGCAACAGAGAGAAAGAGAGAGAGAGTAGAAACGATGGGAAAAGGAACGAAATCATGGCTAGACGCGATCCTTCGCGTCTCCAAGGAGAAACGGACGTTCGTCTGTTTCTGTTTGCCCGAAACGCTTTTGGTAGATAGATACCATCGAGTCGAGGATCCACGGATTTTTACCTCGTCCTTGGGTGTCCCACGGACCACCTCCATGCGGATGCTCGATTGAAATTTCTGTCTTGGTCTGGCCGTAGTTGAAATTTTCGTGCCGTTTTTTCCTTCCGTTTGCCGTTACAAAGATGCGGGAAATCGTGCATATCCAAGCTGGACAATGTGGCAACCAAATTGGTGCCAAGGTCAGTACTCGCGTATACACGCTTCGATAAACATATATATATATATATATGTACATATAAATACACTTACTCGCGCGAATTCTCGTTTCTATTCTCTCGAGGGGGAGGTGGAAATCGGACATTTATGGTTTAAAACGCGCACAGTTCGTCGAATTGTCGTGGCTGTCGGGTGTCGGTGATCGATTATCGGTAAGGAGGTGAACTAACCTTTCGCGGCTGTTACCTTCGCGTCCGTGTCTCTCGGGGCTGGGAAATTTTCACCACCTTTTTCCAGACCAACCTTTCGATATAATTTCCGATAACGACAGTTCTGGGAGGTGATCTCGGACGAGCATGGCATCGACCCATCCGGTACCTATCACGGAGACTCGGACCTACAACTGGAAAGGATCAACGTGTACTACAACGAGGCGTCAGGCGGCAAATACGTACCTCGCGCTATCCTCGTCGATCTGGAGCCAGGCACCATGGACTCGGTACGATC